TTATACTCACACACACACACAGTGCTCCAGTCTTACACACACAGTGCTCCAGTGTTACACACACAGTGCTCCAGTGTTACACACACACACACACAGTGCTCCAGTGTTACACACACACAGTGCCCCAGTGTTACACTCACACATACAGTGCTCCAGTGTTACACACACACACACAGTGATCCAGTGTTACACACACACACACAGTGATCCAGTGTTACACACACACACAGTGCTCCAGTGTTACACACACAAACACAGTGCCCCAGTGTTACACTCACACAAACAGTGCTCCAGTGTTACACACACACACAGTGATCCAGTGTTACACACATACACACAGTGCTCCAGTGTTACACACATACACACAGTGCTCCAGTGTTACACACACACAGTGCTCCAGTGTTACACACACACAGTGCTCCAGTGTTACACACACACAGTGCTCCAGTGTTACACACACACAGTGCTCCAGTGTTACACACACACACAGTGCTCCAGTGTTACACACACACAGTGCTCCAGTGTTACACACACACACAGTGCCCCAGTGTTACACACACACACAGAGTGCTCCAGTGTTACACACACACACACACAGTGCTCCAGTGTTACACACACACACAGTGCTCCAGTGTTACAAACACACAGTGCCCCAGTGTTACACACACAGTGCTCCAGTGTTACACACACACACACAGAGTGCCCCAGTGTTACACTCACACACACAGTGCTCCAGTGTTGCACACACACAGTGCTCCAGTGTTACACACACACACAGTGCTCCAGTGTTACACACACACAGTGCTCCAGTGTTACACACACACACAGAGTGCTCCAGTGTTACACACACACACAGTGCCCCAGTGTTACACACACAGAGTGCCCCAGTGTTACACTCACACACACACACAGAGTGCCCCAGTGTTATACTCACATACACACAGTGCTCCAGTGTTATACTCACACACACAGTGCTCCAGTGTTACACACACAGTGCTCCAGTGTTACACACACACACAGTGTTCCAGTGTTACACACACACAGTGCCCCAGTGTTACACACACACAGTGCTCTAGTGTTACACTCACACACAGTGCCCCAGTGTTACACACACACAGTGCCCCAGTGTTACACTCACACACAGAGTGCTCCAGTGTTACACACACAGTGATCCAGTGTTACACACACACAGTGATCCAGTGTTACACACACAGTACTCCAGTGTTACACACACACACAGAGTGCCCCAGTGTTACACTCACACACACACAGAGTGCCCCAGTGTTATACTCACACACACACACAGTGCTCCAGTCTTACACACACAGTGCTCCAGTGTTACACACACAGTGCTCCAGTGTTACACACACACACACTGCTCCAGTGTTACACACACACAGTGCTCCAGTGTTACACACACACACACACAGTGCTCCAGTGTTACACACACACACACACAGTGCTCTAGTGTTACACACACACACACACAGTGCTCCAGTGTTACACACACACACAGTGCTCCAGTGTTACACACACACACACAGTGCTCCAGTGTTACACACACACACACAGTGCTCCAGTGTTACAATCACAGTGCTCCAGTGTTACAATCACAGTGCTCCAGTGTTACAATCACAGTGCTCCAGTGTTACACACACACACAGTGCCCCAGTGTTACACACACACAGTGCCCCAGTGTTACACACACACAGTGCCCCAGTGTTACACACACACACAGTGCTCCAGTGTTACACACACACACACAGTGCTCCAGTGTTACACACACACACAGTGCTCCAGTGTTACACACACACACAGTGCTCCAGTGTTACACACACACACAGTGCTCCAGTGTTACACACACACAGTGCTCCAGTGTTACACACACACACACAGTGCTCCAGTGTTACACACACAGTGCTCCAGTGTTACACACACACACAGTGCCCCAGTGTTACATACACACAGTGCTCCAGTGTTACACACACACAGTGCTCCAGTGTTACATCAACACAGTGCTCCAGTGTTACACACACACACAGTGATCCAGTGTTACACACACAGTGCTCCAGTGTTACACACACACAAACAGTGCTCCAGTGTTACACACACACACAGTGATCCATTGTCACACACACACACAGTGATCCATTGTCACACACACACACAGTGATCCAGTGTTACACACACACAGTGCTCCAGTGTTACACACACACAGTGCTCCAGTGTTACACACACACACACAGTGCTCCAGTGTTACAAACACACACAGTGCTCCAGTGTTACACACACACACAGTGCCCCAGTGTTACACACACACACAGTGCTCCAGTGTTACACACACACAGTGCTCCAGTGTTACACACACACACAGAGTGCTCCAGTGTTACACACACACACAGTGCCCCAGTGTTACACACACAGAGTGCCCCAGTGTTACACTCACACACACACACAGAGTGCCCCAGTGTTATACTCACATACACACAGTGCTCCAGTGTTATACTCACACACACACAGTGCTCCAGTGTTACACACACAGTGCTCCAGTGTTACACACACACACAGTGTCCCAGTGTTACACACACACAGTGCCCCAGTGTTACACACACACAGTGCTCTAGTGTTACACTCACACACAGTGCCCCAGTGTTACACACACACAGTGCCCCAGTGTTACACTCACACACAGAGTGCTCCAGTGTTACACACACAGTGATCCAGTGTAACACACTCACAGTGATCCAGTGTTACACACACAGTACTCCAGTGTTACACACACACACAGAGTGCCCCAGTGTTACACTCACACACACACCGAGTGCCCCAGTGTTATACTCACACACACACACAGTGCTCCAGTCTTACACACACAGTGCTCCAGTGTTACACACACAGTGCTCCAGTGTTACACACACACACACACAGTGCTCCAGTGTTACACACACACAGTGCCCCAGTGTTACACTCACACATACAGTGCTCCAGTGTTACACACACACACACAGTGATCCAGTGTTACACACACACACACAGTGATCCAGTGTTACACACACACAGTGCTCCAGTGTTACACACACAAACACAGTGCCCCAGTGTTACACTCACACAAACAGTGCTCCAGTGTTACACACACACACAGTGATCCAGTGTTACACACATACACACAGTGCTCCAGTGTTACACACATACACACAGTGCTCCAGTGTTACACACACACAGTGCTCCAGTGTTACACACACACAGTGCTCCAGTGTTACACACACACAGTGCTCCAGTGTTACACACACACAGTGCTCCAGTGTTACACACACACACAGTGCTCCAGTGTTACACACACACAGTGCTCCAGTGTTACACACACACACACAGTGCCCCAGTGTTACACACACACACAGAGTGCTCCAGTGTTACACACACACACACACAGTGCTCCAGTGTTACACACACACACAGTGCTCCAGTGTTACAAACACACAGTGCCCCAGTGTTACACACACAGTGCTCCAGTGTTACACACACACACACAGAGTGCCCCAGTGTTACACTCACACACACAGTGCTCCAGTGTTGCACACACACAGTGCTCCAGTGTTACACACACACACAGTGCTCCAGTGTTACACACACACACACAGTGCTCCAGTGTTACACACACAGTGCCCCAGTGTTACACACACACACAGTGCTCCAGTGTTACACTCACACACACACACAGAGTGCCCCAGTGTTACACTCACACACACACACAGAGTGCCCCAGTGTTATACTCACACACACACAGTGCTCCAGTGTTACACACACACACAGTGCTCCAGTGTTACACACACACACAGTGCTCCAGTGTTACACACACACACACAGTGCTCCAGTGTTACACACACACACACACAGTGCTCCAGTGTTACACACACACACACACAGTGCCCCAGTGTTACACACACACAGTGCTCCAGTGTTACACTCACACACAGTGCCCCAGTGTTACACTCACACACACAGTGCTCCAGTGTTACACACACACAGTGCTCCAGTGTTACACACACACACACAGTGCTCCAGTGTTACACACACACACCCAGTGCTCCAGTGTTACACACACAGTGCCCCAGTGTTACACACACACACAGTGCCCCTGTGTTACACACACACAGTGTGCTCCAGTGTTACACTCACACAGAGTGTGCTCCAGTGTTACACACACAGAGTGCCCCAGTGTTACACTCACACAGAGTGTGCTCCAGTGTTACACACACACAGTGATCCAGTGTTACACACACACAGTGCTCCAGTGTTACACACACAGTGCTCCAGTGTTACACACACAGTGCTCCAGTGTTACACTCACACACACACACAGTGCCCCAGTGTTACACTCACACACACACAGAGTGCCCCAGTGTTACACTCACACACACACAGTGCTCCAGTGTTACACACACAGTGCTCCAGTGTTACACACACACACAGTGCTCCAGTGTTACACACACACACAGTGCCCCAGTGTTACACTCACACACACAGTGCTCCAGTGTTACACACACACACAGTGCTCCAGTGTTACACACACAGTGCCCCAGTGTTACACACACACAGTGCCCCAGTGTTACACTCACACACACACACAGTGCTCCAGTGTTACACACACACACAGTGCTCCAGTGTTACACTCACACACACATAGGGCCCCAGTGTTACACACACACAGAGTGCCCCAGTGTTACACACACACAGAGTGCCCCAGTGTTACACACACACACACAGTGCTCCAGTGTTACACACACACACAGTGCTCCAGTGTTACACACACACACAGTGCCCCAGTGTTACACACACACACAGTGCTCCAGTGTTACACTCACACACACAGTGCTCCAGTGTTACACACACACAGTGCTCCAGTGTTACACACACACACAGTGCCCCAGTGTTAAACACACACACAGTGCCCCAGTGTTACACACACACACACAGTGCTCCAGTGCTGGAGCCGTGTGTACCCTGGATGACGTGCTCAGGGGAGATGGTCTTGCGCTGCGCATGGGCGCACGCCGTGTTCGCCTCGCTGGACACGTGGCGCACGAAGCGCGTGCACGCCACGCGCAGCAGGTCTCGTGCGCCCGCCGTCAGGCGCAGGCACGGCACCAGCTCGCCCACGAGGTGGCGCTGCACGGACGCGTAGGGCAGCGTCACCTGGTCGGCTTCGTGCGCCGGACCCCCGACCCCCAGCGGACACGGCATTGCCTCCTTCTCACCGATCTTACAAAAGTACCGCAACGACGCACAGATCAGAACGCTGGGCTACGTACGGTGCGAAAGAAGTTCAACAGGCAACAACGTTCATCGCTGCCTCCCCTCCACCCCGTAGGGCCTCTTGAATAGACTGTTGGGGGCCCAGTGCTGTGCGCGGGTACCAATGAAGGCTGGCACGGCGCCCGAGGCGGGTGGGTGGGTGATTAACACCACGCCCGGTCGTCTTTGCCTCCCTAGTGCTGATGCTTACTAGCCGCACCAGGTACTCATTTAAGGTCGAGATGACCTAAGGCCCTGGGACCGGTGCAGACATTCGTCACCGGTGTTGGGCAGTAAGTGGCAATCGAACTCGGGTTGCCGGGTTCGTAACGCAGTGAGCGCCAACCACTACACCACTGAGGATGCGCTTCGAATTCATCGACTGAACGTATTCAACCTGCACTGGCCAGCCTGGTGAAGTATGGTCAAACTGCCTTCATCCAGCAACAATTGACAAAAGCGCCTAAAGGAAAAAAGATATACTTTATAGCATTCCTTCTCTCTCGCCTCCTCAATTAGCTCGAGTGTAAGAACTCCGCACAACTTTCACCGATTTCAAAGTCTACTGTTGAAAACCTTGAGTTCGACGCGTAATGGAAGATATAAATCCATAGATCGACGATGCATTGACAGGAGGCTAATGGCGAGCCATTAGTCAGCATTCTTCAAAAGGCCATGCAGCAAACAGCTGATGGCTTACTCATTGTTTTTTTCGGTAAAGTCTCGTATGTAGAAATACAATAAAATTATATTAAAACAAAACAATTACGACGTTTCGATCACAACACAAGCGATCTTCATCAGGTGTCAATAACAAATCATAGAGGTAAATACAAGAAGATGAGAGACGAGAATTCAACAAACCTAAGAAACATTATGTGAAGCACAACCAGTCAGGCCAACAACACAGTTAGACACTTCCTGGCGGACCACGAATTTCAGAAGAATCTTAAATTTCGTGTTCAACCTCTGGATTGCACCTACCAGCATAGAGTGAACAAATACGAGGTACAAAGTCAGCAGAAATACATATACAGGCCCACCAAGAGGCAAGGAGGGAGGAAAGACGCCTTCCCTTCCTCCAGGCATGGAGAGCGAAGCAGAGCTTTACAGAGAATCCAAACTTTTTTTTTTTTACCAGGTAAGGCCCACTGAACTATATGGCTCTTTTTCAGAAGCACCCTGGCCACAAATCATAGCTCAACGAAGTGGCTTATCATGTGGAAATGTATAGCAGCCAAATACTCGAAACGTGTGTTGATTCTAAACGTTTAGGGGGAAAACCAAAGGAGCCGGGAGAAAACTCCACACGACCAGGGGGAGAGACGCGCACGTTCCAAATATACAACAGGCGTCAGGGTCGGCATCTAACCCACGACCTTCTTGCATACGAGGCGAGGGAGTTCATACAAATAAAACACGTGTGGTTAATACAGACTTGATTCTTTGCAAAAGGAATGTATTTGTCGTCAACATCTTAACACCTCCTGTTTTTTTGCCACAAAGGGTAAAACCCATAAATATTTTTTATAATCTATTCGTGAGACATTTGGATGACGTGTACATCGGAAATGTTTTTGCATATTTGTTGCATACGTAATTTTTTTTGTATCTCATCTTGCCCGATTTTGCGATCGCTTTGTAATCACGAAGATGTTAAATGTCAGTGCTGCTGCCGCCGCACAGTAGCAAATAGATTCTACCTTATAAAACTGTAAATGTGGCCGAAATGTACACCCACTAGTAAACGATGAAGGTTGGGAAAACATTTGGCACGTGGTTTGAACTGTTGGACCAACGATGGCCGAACGTTCCACGTTTACCGGGCAGTCCCTTAGTAAAATGTCCTTTCAATTGTGATGGAGACGGCAGATTGGCTCAGCCGGCTCGTTCAAATGAATCTCTTTAGGGGGGACTTTTGTCGACACTGGAGCACGTGCTCAAATCGATGAACAAACAATATCGGCAACAATTACAGTGCAGGCTACACGGCGAGTGGACACAAGTCCCCTCCTGCCACGAGCAAGGCTCATTGCCGTACAGTACCGGTGTCAGAAGGTCACGGACGGGAAGGTCACGGACGGGAAGGCCCTGCCGATATCTCTTTCGTTGTTACAATTCTGTGATGACAACCACGGGCGGTGGTGGTGGCCGCTTGTGGGTTAAGTGAGCCCGATGGTCTTGGCCTGCTCACGCGATGGCTTACAGACACACACAAAGCCGTCGAGCATCGTCATTATCACCACCACCAACCACCACGTGCTAGTTCATGCCATGGCGGTCACCGTTCACTCGTGCCGTGCGTAGGGTGGGTGGGTGGGGGGGGTCACAGATGGTTGACAAACACCACAAAAAAATATTCCACTGTGGAATGTGTGCAGCGAGTACAGCAGCGTGAAGACTGGTGGGACCGGAAGGGCGAGAGGTTCTCATCTCAGTCTCTTTTGAACAGTGCCACATCCCACCCCACTCGTTCAACACCCGAGAGCACGGATGTAATTCTCACGGTCCTTAGTGCCCCAATGATTGAGGCACATTGCTGGGCATCCGTGATAAAGAGCTTCACAGCACTTGGTCGGATTTTCCGCAGTCTATACGATTCTGACATTGCAATTCATAACCCTTGCAACATTAATGATCATTATCAGAATGCTAAACTTTCGAAACCACAATGAAAACCACCATTATCATCAAGCACAGTGTAAGCTGCCAATGTACCAGATTCATATAGCGTGCATCACAATACAAATTCGCGTCATTGTAGATTACATGACGGTAACACAAAAACACACAGTACGAGTCCCTCGCATATCTGTACCCCTCCACATTAAAAAAGTCCTACAACATCCCATCGGTCACGCGGCCTTCCTCCTGGGAGTGGGGAACTTCAGCAGGCACGAGTTCCAACCCACAAAGCACAAGTGGGCTGACTTGTTCGAGATATCCACTGCTGGTGGAGTGCCCAACGTGAACGCACAAACACCGTGACGGGCGTGGTGCAGGAGTGTAGGAGTGTCGTGTGTAGGAGCGGAGCGTTGTAGTGTGTAGGAGCAGTGTAGTGTGTAGGAGTGTAGTGTGTAGGAGCAGTGTCACGTGTAGGAGCAGTGTCGTGTGTAGGAGCAGTGTCGCGTGTAGGAGCAGTGTAGTGTGTAGGGGGAGTGTTGTGTGTGGGAGGCGTGTTGTGTGTAGTAAGTGCACTTCACTATCGTAACGCACGATATGCGAGTGCAGCTGTTGGACGCCGGCACGTGGCTTCACACGTGGCGTCGTATCGCCCTTTAAATACAGTAGCGTCACGTGACGTCTCCGGTTGTCGGAGTTGCGGGGGGAGGGATGGGGGTTGGGGAGGTGAGGGGTTGGGGGGGGTGAGTGGTTGGGGGGGTGAGGGGTTGGGGGGGGTGGGGGGGTGAGGGGTTGGGGGGGGTGGGGGGGTGAGGGGGTGAGGGGTTGGGGGGTGAGGGGTTGGGGGGTGAGGGGTGGAGGGTTGTTGGAGACTCTAACTTCTCCTTGTCGTATGGCTGCTGATGTTCGATGCAGGGCAACAACTACAATTTCACATTCAGGTGGTGGTCAAGCAAGCAGACAACCGCGTCAGGAGCCAGCTGAGTGGAGTATCGCAGTGATGTATTTTTGTGGATCGGGCCATTGCGTCGTTACACGTTGTACTACGGTGTGTTCAGGATGACCACAGCCGTATTTGCATTTGTGCATCAGGGCATCCGCATCTACTGCCGTGGTTTGTTAAGTGGATGCGGTTTAGGGTGGACCGTGAGCAGCTTCGTGGAAGATTAAACCCAGCGACCTTCTTCGTTGGGCTCTTTCACAACAAGCTGACTTCTTTTGAACTCCCATTCCGCTCTCAAAGACTCTTCACTCAAGAGGCGGAGTAGATGCTCTGTCGTTCAAGCGCGCACCCACACGGATGGTTTGCGTTGTCCTCGGATCACAATACCTCTGGGTGAGGGCCACCCCACAGTCGTCACCATGCACCACGGTCCCCCGTGATGGCAACAATCCCTCTAAGCGGCTGACCTCACCGCTCCATCTCCACGAAGGTCGCCTGCTCCGTGCGTCTTCTCTACCTTGGGCTGCCATTCTTGTCACTCGTCTCGTCCATCGACCAAATAAATATAATCGGTGACATTTCGAGGAATGGCCCTTCAGAGCACATGGTAATACCACGGGGCTTGATGTAAAAGGTTTTTATATTTGTTAAATAGGTATATGAAGTTATCTAATAGTATCTATTAAGTACTTTCATTTTAACACGTAGGCTTTCGCGACCAATATCATCCATAAGTTTTTTTTGTTAGATCGCGTAAATGTGTCGTTAAAACCCGCCACACACGACAGCAAACTAGTAAGGGTTGTCACGTAAACAGGACATGCACAAAGAAGATACACCCCTTTGTCCCATCGTCTCTACTATCAACTCCCCCACCTACAAACTGGCACGTTTTCTTGCTGATATACTGCGACCTTTCACCGGAAAAACCACCTCTGCGGTACTAAATTCTACTCACCTGGTATCGACAATCAAAGGCATTTCCCTGTCCCCAGACGACCTGCTTGTCAGTTTTGATGTGGTGTCCTTGTTCACCAAAGTCCCGGTACCTGACACCATCGCTATCATTGAAGACCTGGTTCATCAAGGACTGCATACTGATGTACCCCCCCTGGTGAGACATTGCTTAACCAACACATACTTCACCTGGAATGGAACTTCCTACAAACAAACTGAGGGCACCCCAATGGGCTCCCCCCTATCTCCGGTTGTAGCCAATGTATTCATGGAAAAATTTGAAACTGACGCCATCCAGACTGCCACTCTACGCCCGAACTTATGGAAGAGGTACGTTGATGACACCTTTGTCATCTGGCCACATGGCCAGCCTGCTCTAGACCAATTCCGCGACCACATCAATTCCATACACCCAGCCATCAGATTTACCATGGAGGTCGAAAAAGATGGCAAACTACCCTTTTTGGATGTCTTAATTAAAAGGAGACATGATGGTTCAATGAGCCACTCTGTCTACAGGAAAGCTACCCATACAGATGCTTACTTGAAACCGGATTCCCACCACCATCCATCCCAGAAGAACTCCCTCATCAAGACTCTATACCATAGAGCCCAATGCATTTCCGACCAGGAACACATTACCAGTGAACTCAAGCACGTACACCAGGCTCTCAGGGCTAATGGTTACTCCGACTACACAATCCGCAAAGCCATCACTCCAGTCATGAAGAAGGATTCTCTTGTGGAGCCACTCAAAACCATCACCTTACCCTACATTGCAGGGGTCACTAAAAAGATCTCCAAAATCCTGAATAAACAAGATCCAGGTCCGATTCAACACAGTACATAAAATCCGTGATTTAGTTCCATCTGTAAAAGATGCTGTTCCAGACATACAGTACCCGGGCGTTTACAAACTAAAGTGCCTCTGTGGGAGTAGCTACATTGGAGAAACCAAACGACATATCTCGGACCGCATCCGCGAACATAAAGCAGACTTGAAACACGGTAGGACGAACTCCTCTGCCGTGGCAGATCACTGTTATAATTCAGTGGGCTCACATGACATTGACTTCTCCAAGACGGAGGTTCTTTGCAAACCAACCGGCTACCATGAGAGATTCGTTCATGAGGCCATTCACATATACAAGCACAGAGACAATTTCAACCGAGAAGATGGATTCTGGCTTAGTAACCACTGGAAAGATGTTTAAAACCATTTCTGTTCTTAATTAATTGTATTTTTACGATGACCTTCAGACCGCAGCTCTTTCGCCAGCATTGACTCTTAATACCTCTCACACCACGGTTAATGGTATGGTTTACAACATGGAGTATAATAGCGCCTCGCAGCTGTCTCTCTCCCCCTCCTCGGTTCCGACCATGGATGAACTCGTCCGTCTGAACGGGGCCCGTAGCTATCCGTGGTGCTAAAGTTGAGGGTAAGAATCCACCCATTTTTTCGCCATATAGCATTGTGATATATAACGACTTATTGTTGGTAGCTTAGCTGATTGGAGAATATAGAGTTTATTGATAACATTAAGGTAATTTATATTTTAGTTTTTTATTGGTTCACTATATAGTACTGTGAATAGCTCAGATGTGTAGGCCTTGACTTCAACATAGTCATTTCTGTGACCAGTTACTAGCTAATCACTCAGTTATTTCAATGCTAAATTCGCCTAGTTATTTCAATGCTAAATTCTCCTGTTTGATTTGTACTAAGTGCCTCGGTGAATGTGTATGCTCTGACTTTAACGTAGCTATTTCTGTGACCAGTTACAAGCTAATCACTCAGCTATTTCAATGCTAAATTCTATGCTAATTCCTTTGTCAAGGGGTGCCTCTGCGGATGTGTATGCTTTAACTTAGCTATTTCAATGCTAAATGCTATGCTAATTCCTTTATCAAGGGGTGCCTCTGCGGATGTGTATGCTTTAACTTTTAACATAGCTATTTGTGACCAGTCACAAGCTAATCATTCAGCCATTTCAATGCTAAATTATATGCTAATTCCTTTGTCAAGGCGCTTTGTTCCTCTCACACAGCTTAAAGGCCGTGATCTGAACGTGGCTCTTTCACTCCAGCGCTGTCCTACCAGACAGTCTCGTCCCTTCACCTGATGAAGGCCGCTTGTGTTGTGGCCGAAACGTCGTGAGAATATTATTGTGTTATTTTATTTTATCAATTTATTATTTTATTCTCATTCTACGTGACTTTACCGAAAGAACCAAAGAAGATGAATCATTGCAGTCACGAAAGCTTTAAATCGAAATTTAACCGCCTCTACGGGGAGGGATTCCACACATCCTTAAGATCATTCAACAGACTTCGGGATAAGAAGGCTCAACTAATCGAGTCTCTCACCTTTCTGAAGAGATGCCGCGACTCTAAGGTAATACCAACCGCATTTACACTAACCTCTGCTGTTGCAACTTCTCTCAATGCAAAACGAATTCTAGCTAGAACTAGCTTCGCTCTTATCTCGGAAAAAATCAGACTTACACGCACCGAACTCGATCAGTTAGACAAGACACTCTACAAATCACACTTAAAATTGACAGCAACAATGTCTACATCGGATTGGGAACATGTAGACAATATGACTACCTCTTCGGCTGCCACTATGTCGAACAAATGTAGGGACAATTTGATTTCCAAATTCAATCACCTCTCCAGCAAAAAATCGGATCCACACACCGAAAAGATAGACGTCAACAAAGTCGTAATTAATCGCAGTAACAGTTCCATTTCTGATGGTCTGAAATCCGTTTTAGCTAAAGGTCTAAACTTTGCTGTCACACCGAGACACTTACCGGTTAATGATATAATTGCCCATGTCGACGTTGCACTCAAGGGCTTGAGTCACATCTCTGCAGACGTAGCAAGATCTGAAATCGCTGCAACCCTCAAAAACGCTAAGTTGCCACCTAGCAACATCAGCAAAGACGAACGTTTTGAATTATCTCAATTAAAAAAGAGGGATGATATTGTCGTTCTCTCAGCCGACAAAGGCAATGCCACTGTCATCATGGACAAAACAGAATATAACAACAAAATTCAAGAACTACTTAACGATGGCAGCTATACAAAAATAAAAAGAGATCCCACCAACAGCCTGGTCACCAAAACGAACAAAATTATCTCTGATTCAACAGCATTAATTGATGAGAACAAACAGTTCTTGTTGAAACCCTCTGCTGCCAGACCACCAAGATTATATGGCCTTCCAAAGATACACAAAGAAGATACACCCCTTCGTCCCATCGTCTCTACTATCAGCTCCCCCACCTACAAACTGGCACGTTTTCTGGCTGATATACTGCGACCTTTCACTGGAAAAACCACCTCTGCGGTACTAAATTCTACTCACCTGGTATCGACAATCAAAGACATTTCCCTGTCCCCAAACGACCTGCTTGTCAGTTTTGATGTGGTGTCCTTGTTCACCAAAGTCCCGGTACCTGACACCATCGCTATCATTGAAGACCTGGTTCATCAAGGACTGCATACTGATGTACCCCCCCTGGTGAGACATTGCTTAACCAACACATACTTCACCTGGAATGGAACTTTCTACAAACAAACTGAGGGCACCCCAATGGGCTCCCCCCTATCTCCGGTTGTAGCCAACGTATTCATGGAAAAATT